AGTCTGCTAAGCTGTAGTTTGATTTTCCGCCTCTCGTTTCCATTTTTCTTCTTCTTTTTTTTCTATCCCACTCTCTGACACCAATTTGTTACGTCTCCATTTGTTAACTGATTTTTCCGTAACTTCGTTCCGATGAAACTTAAGCGACACAAGTCCTTTCTTAATAAAACTAGTTTATTCTTTCCGAATATAACTTTACCGATACACTCAACTTCAACAATCACGCTAAACAAAAGCTGTAACGTCTCTCGTGCTCTATGACTGCAGTTCAATTACTCACTATCTATACACACACATTACATTATCCTCGCATCACGTTGTCCCCTCTTATATATACCCGCCTACCCTAGTAAATACTAGAGCATTCATGAAAGAACAAGATAGTTCTAGAAAATAGAGGGCGCCACACCAGTCACGTGACCTCGAGGACGCAACAGTATTCTTATTAAACCATCAACATAAGTAAATTCACTTTACTTAAAATCTTGTTTTATAGCATGACATTCAGCTTCAATCTTATTTTATGGAGTATCATCACAGTGTATGGTATTGGTTTTGATTTTTTGTGTAGGTTTATGACAATTACTCATAAAAAAGTAATATTAATATTTTAAATTAGTTTTCTTAAAGGTATGAATCAAGAACACTTATTATAATTATCATTTTAAAATTGGGGCATCTTTAATTAGATTGTCTTGACATTTAATATATATTATATATATAATAGCAAACCCATGGGCCTGTGGCCCACATTTACAGGGCCCTATGTTTCAAATTTAATACTTGAACTACTATTTTGCACTTTTTCAGTTTAATGATCATTGCCGCTATAATGCAAATTTAATTTCTTTAACCAAGTTACGAAGGGCAATTAGTAGGCCAACTTATCTATGTGCTCTAACATAAATCAATGCCAAATCTAGGGTTTACTTTCAGGGAATCCTTGTAAAAATGTTTTCACAAAATACCCAGGTTCCATAAAGGGTTGGGTGAAAGGTTTTATCTTTGTGCAAACCACGAGTCCGAGACAATTCACATGCACCATTTAAAAGTTGGTGAATCCAGCAGTTTAGGAGAAGGGGTTTGGGGGAAATCTCTGTGTTCCACAAGGGTTGGGGTGGAAAATTTTACCTTTATACAAATTTTTGGATCAAGATGATTTGTTTGGTACCATTTAGAAGTCAGTATGACCAGTAGTTTAGGGGGAGTTATGTGACACACAGACACTGAATCTTATTTTATATATATATATATATATTGTGAATCCAAAAACATGTTTCTTATTTAACACCATTTATTGAGGTGTGTGTGTTATAAATATAAAAGTTAAAATACTAAAATATAATTCCTTTCTTTTTGTAGCATTAGAAGCCTTAACCAGCAATGGATTCAGTCATTTAGTGCCAGCAAGGACAGTTACCAACTTGAACACTAAGAAACAAGACACACATTTCTGGGCAAGTGATGAGGTGGAAAGAATATTTACAGGTAATTTTTTTTTCTACAGAGCTTAATATTGCTTGCATTTTATTGTGCTCTTGAAATAAAATACAACAACATGCAAGTAGGTTACCATTTTTTTAGCTTGATACTACCTGTTTAACACCAGTTGGGTAAGGTCATACAAAAAACACAAAACAAAATGCAACTGAAGAACAAAACTCAAATTATATAATAGATTTCAAATTCAGAATATGTGCATTTAAGGAGAAGAACTTTGAAAAGGATACATTCCACATGAATTTAAATGGTGGTATATATGTATGGTTTTAGCATTATGAAAAGTTAAATAATGGTGTATCTTATTCAGGATAAATGCGAGTTGTGGAGGTGGGTGTGCTGCATAAATATCAACATGGATACGAATGATAATGTAAGGAGATGGGTGTACTGTGTAAATATCAACATGGTATGAATGATAATTTATGGAAATGGATATACTGTGTAAATATCAACATGAATATGAATGATAGTGTAAGGATATGGGTGTACTGTGTAAATATCAACATGGATATGAATGACAGTTTAAGGATATGGGTGTACTGTGTAAACATCAACATGGATATGAATGATAATGTAAGGAGATGGGTGTGTTATGTAAATATCAACATGGATATGAATGATAGTGTAAGGATATGGGTGTTCTTTGTAAATATCAACATGGGTATGAATGATAATGTAAGGAGATGGGTGTACTGTGTAAATATCAACATGGATATGAATGACAGTTTAAGGATATGGGTGTACTGTGTAAACATCAACATGGATATGAATGATAATGTAAGGAGATGGGTGTACTGTGTAAATATCAACATGGATATGAATGACAGTTTAAGGATATGGGTGTACTGTGTAAACATCAACATGGATATGAATGATAATGTAAGGAGATGGGTGTACTGTGTAAATAT